GACCAGAGATAATCACGTGAGGGTTAAACGGACTATGCGGAAAGCAAGATCGTCCGCTTCGTTTGCAGGGGTTCCGGTGACGTCAGAACGCCCAGCTCTCGTTGGTTCTGAATGAACGATAGTGGGCGGTTGAGGTCTACCCACTATCCTTCGATCCGAGCCAATCGGAGCTCCGCGTCCTTCTGACGTCACCGCAACTCCCGCGCAAAAAGCGGACGAACTTGCTTTCCGCATAGGTTACCGGACCGGTGGATACGGAATACATTGGGTACGATCAAAACGAGCAGCGTAGGTAACGCTAGACCTAATCCGTGAAGCGAATCGGTACACGGCGTTCTTGGAAGGCTTATTCGCGAGAAGGAACCAATCAGCGACCGAAGTGCCGTGCACGCGCCGATGGACTACGACCCTTAAATGGGGCCTCCCCACTGCGAATGCCTGGGACGCGCAGTTTCGGCTCGAAAAAGGTGGGCAACGAGAATGCAACATGCACGATGAGGACGCACGCTCCCCCCGTCCCTTCGCCGCCCACGCGGAGGCCGACGCTCGCAATCATCGATTTGGGGAAGAAACGAAGGGGAAAAAAAGGAGGCCCGTAGAATAAGACGGGGGAATGAAATGGGGAACGGGGGCTGCGTAAGGGAATCGGAGCATGCATATTTTAAGGGAGAACGAGCACGGGGGAAGGAAACGAGGATAGAGACGACGCGCAATGAATCAGGGATACGAGAATCTAAGAAAATGGGGAAGAAACGGGAAAGAGTGGGGGAAAATAAGAACAATTCGAAGCGGTACAACGAGGGAAAGCGAAAGCTGGTTCAAGGCACAACTCAGACTACGTCGGGCGTTTCGGGGGAAAAAGAGAGTAAGGAAGGAATGCGATTGGTGAGAGATGCAAAACGGGGTTGCGCGACGCTTGTATTAGTGATTACGAGGTGTGTCGTGCGCTTAAGGAGGTTAGCGTGCACGCAAGAATTCGACGTTAGCCGCGATTCGAGAGTAGAAATTCTTAAATGAAGTGCTAGCTGAACAAGGGGTTCGCGAAAACAATAAGGACAGCAGAGAGAAAGAGATGGTGAACAGTACGGCGCACTGTACTGTTCACCATCTCTTCACCGTCCATTATAGAGAGAAAAAGATAAAGGGGAAAGAAGGGTGCGCAAAGTGGATGCGTCTACGTATAAAAAACAAAAAACATGGAAGGGGAAAAGGAGAAAGCAGGGAGAAAATTGCGATGGAGCGGGATTTCGGGGAGAATCATAACCAGAGTTCGGGATAAACGCGGAAAACGAAAAAGAGATAAAAGGAAAAGATCAGATCGGCAAAATAACGACCCAAAGGAAGAGGGAAGCGAAGTGGAAACTCGATAAGACTGAACGCAAAGTGGAACGAGCAAAGTGCGTGTATAGGGAAAGACACGTGGAAAACGAAAAAGCAAAATCGTCCCGAAAGACGGCACACACAAAAAAACAAACAAGAAAACAAAAAGGACGGAACAAAACGACTAAGACAATGAGGAGGAGGCGAAACAAGCGAAAAAACGGAAGAAAAAAAATCACAAAGACCAGAGTCATTTTTCGCACGTCGCGGACGATTCGGAACTGTTATCGACGTAAACGTGATGATAAAAAAAAAAAAATGAGAAACACAGAATCACAATTGCAAGGCCAGAGAACCTTTCCCAAAAGGGAGAGCGATCGGGAGAGAAGAGAAACCGGCATTTCTGTCTTCTTATGTTTACGTCCCCAGCGTAAACAGAAGGAGACGGCCGAAGCCATTTCTGAGCCGTTCTCACGTCACTCGCGAAAAACATAGGGAAGAAGGTTTGACGGTTACGCGGTTCCAGTGGAACCGGGAACAAAGAGCACGAACGGGCTGCTACATAAACATAAACACGCGCTTGTACGTAGGGAACGCACGCTGGGGAGAAAGGGGAAGGACTGGATGACCCGGCGAAGATAATTGGCTATCCACCCAACTGATCGAACCTGAATGACTATGCTGCGGTGCTGGGGAATGGCAGAAGTGCGAGGAATACAAAAGACCAAAGATCAAAGACAGCGTTCAAAGGACGTACACATAACATGTGCGTTGTAGGGAGCACGAGGTGGAACTGAGGATGACATTCGGTCAAAATGGGGAAGACACGGAATAGGTACCTGTAACGAAGCATGGTGTAAGGCGCAAAAAAAAAAAAAAAAAAAAAAACAATGGACACAAGGAAGAAGACCCACACACAAAAGCGCCACTCACAACTCTATTTGAAAAGTGCAGAAAAGGAAGAAATATATATCTCGTCCCCTTCCTCAGGTTCATGAATGCACTTTGTCAGTTTGAGGCCGTAAGGACGTGTGTAGGTGACAGTGGCGCCATTCCTTTCCAGAATGAGACAGGAGTGAGCGTTGACAACCTTCTAACCGTACTAGAAGCGTATCTTAACAGCACTTTTATCTCGTTGGACAACCAGCTTTTCTTTTTTACAAAAAAAAGAGGCATCTGCATTTGGTCGTGCGTAAGCGTGCGTGCCCCCACCCGCCCGCACCGCCCAAAATGGAAATGACACCCGAAATGGGAATGACAAAGTTGGTAGACGTGAGCATGAATTGGGGATACAAGACCACCGACAATCAATTAGTAACCACCTCGGGGGATATTTTTTTGGAACCTCCAAGGTCGTCGGCAGAGAACGTTGGCCGAATTCCTGAAGTTTATTTGCCGCAGACATGGTTCAGTTTACGAATTTGTTTCTGCCCTTTGGATGATCCGATATCAGACACAACAAAATGCCCATGAAGTACATTATTAATGAAGTTTTAAATCGTAGAAAGGTTTCCCACTCTATTGGCGAATTAACTATAGACGGTCATAACATGTCAGGTGCACGTTTGGCGGAACAGTTTAATGCTAACTATTCAAATGCACTACCTACTGCACAGGGAAACGGAAATAATGAAAATGTCCTTTCTTCTGTGAAACATACTGATGATACGTTTTTTCTCAATCCAACTGACGAAGTAGAGGTGTATAACATCTTTCTATGACTAAAAAACAGCAAAAGTATTGACATTGATAAATTACAAATAAAGCCAGTTAAATTTGTAATGGATATAATTGCCCCACACTTAGCATACATATACAACTTATCATTATCATCTGGTCAGTTTCCCGCAAAAATGAAGTTGGCTAAAGTCACTGTTGTGCATAAAGGAGGCGATAAGCATGTAATGAATAACTATAGGCCAATATCTGTGTTACCTGTCTTCTCTAAGGTACTCGAAAAGATTATTCTTACGCGCCTCGATCACTTTTTTTGTAAACATTCTATATTAACAGACTATCAATTCGGCTTTCGCAAAGGCAAATCTACGGAAGCCGCCTTGTTATATCAAAAAGAAATTATATTGCGAAATATAGAAAAAAGGCTGATTACTTTAGGTGTGTTCATTGATTTTAGTAAAGCGTTTGATGTCCTAAATCATACAGTACTACTTATGAAACTTAGTCGATATGGCGTCCGCGGTGTAGCACTTGCCTTGCTTCACTCGTATCTAACAAATAGGAAACAGTGTGTAGCTATTGACGGTTTTTTCTCTTCTTTCCAAAGTGTTCTTTGTGGTGTACCGCAGGGAAGTATACTTGGACCTTTTCTATTTAATGTCTACATCAATGACCTAGTAAACATTGATAACCAAGTGCAATTTGTTATATATGCGGACGATACGAGTATGTTTTTCTCTGCGGCTGATGCTGATACACTGTTATGCCAAGCCAATTCTACTCGTACCAAATTTGCATTGTGGTCTGATACTAACGGCCTTAAGGTAAATACAATGAAGTCTAAAGCAATCTTATTTAGATCAAAAAATAAGCCCATTTCAATAAATTACACTCTCATACTAGGTACGTCGTTAATCGAAATAGTCAGCCAGCATAAAGCTTTACGTGTATTTTTTTCAGAGAATATGACGTGGGATTGTCATGTAAATTATTTAACAGCTAAACTTTCTCGGATCGTTGGTATTGTTTCTCGTTGTCGCAACGTTTTACCACTCAACATTAAACTTAAAATTTATTATGCATTATTTCAATCCCACTTGAGTTATTGTCACCTTGTATGGGCTACTACAACAAAAACAAACCTTAAAAACATACTATTACTGCAAAAGAAAATAATACGATATATTGCTGATGTTTCCTACACAGACCACACAGAACCTTTATTTTTAAAATATCAAATAATTCCGGTTGAACGCATGTATGAGTATCGTTTGCTTTGTTCCATTCGTTTCTCCTCCACACACTTCATCGATTTCTTATTCACTATTTCTGAGCTTGTAAGGCATAGCAGTGATGTCAACATACGCCGCAGAGAAGCATGGGTCCTCCCTTGTTCCCGCACAAACTACAACTTTCAAACTTTACATTACAACCTACCACTCGTTTTAAATAAATGCCTCACAAACAACATAAACATATACACGATTAGCAAACGAGACTTGCGCTCTTATATCTTCGTTGTTCCCTAATTTAGTGTTATAATGTTTACAAAGTTCCGATTTTTTTTATTTTTTTTTATTTTTTATTTTTTTAATGTTACGCTAGGAGAGTGTTGCGCACTACCAAGCTGCTGCCATGTAATAAGGGTCCCAGACCCAGTCAAGCTGTCTCAACAGCTTTTTGTCTGGGACTCCTTCCAGTGTTTCTGGAAAATAAAGCTTTGATTTGATTTGATTTGATTGAAGGCTATGTTTTAGCCAATAATGCATAGGGAAGTCAACTACGTGGAGCAGCCCCATGATCAAATAACTGCAAGCATCGACGTATAAGGCAGCTCAACTTACGCCCTCTGGACAATAATGAGCGGGCAAAATATGACAGATCGCCGTTTAAACAGGTCCCCATACACTTTCTTCGATCGCGCCAACAAAGCTCACCGACTGATCCGAGACAATACAGACAGCCACTGCGGGTAACAAAAACAAAAAAGGCGATCGTCTGACCTGGCGATGTATCCGCTGGTTGGTCCGGCCCCGTTGCGGTCGTCCATTACCCTCGCAGGCTGACTATTCACCACCTTGCCGTCTTCGTTCGCCTTCCACGTGCTGGCGTCCTCCTTGAACTCCTTGCCCCTGGACAGGTCGAGCACAAGGTCAAGCAGGGTCAAGGTCGCCCTCGAAAAGCCGCCCGAACACGTCTGATATGAAGTTCCAAATCAAGCAATCAGCGCTAGCACACAGCTACCCATCTCGATTACGTCTTATCATCCGCGTCTTACGTAAGTACAAAGTCAAACGCGGTCAAGCTAAAATCAAGTTCAAGGACAGAAAGTTGTCTGAACCCAGAGGAAATTAACCTTGAATTGAGCTATCAGTGCATGCGTGCCACCACCGATCTCAATTAGCTAGGCCTCCTCGATCATGCCTCGCAGGAGAATAAGGTCACACGCGGTCAAGTGAAGGTCGAAGCCGGAAACCTGCCCGAGTTTAGATAAAATTAATCTTCATATCGAGATTACCTGTCACGATTACGGCTGCTCGACCGCATCTGATGTGGATCAAGGTCAAGCACGGCCAAAAGAGGAGGTCACCGACGTAAAGCCGCGTCGGTGACCAACGTCTGTACTGAGCGATCAGGCGGCAGCGTGCAACTACGGCTATCAATGAAACCTTTCCTCACGGTGCCTTTAGGGACTCGACATTGTGGACACGAAGCTACGCGGCTTTCACGTCACTAGCACCAAAAACGCAGTACATAATGAACTACATCAGAGTCCAACCGAGTAAAACCTGCACCTAAACGCCTTGTGAAAAGCCGGCAAGTAGTACAAACGTACAAACGCGGTACCTCAATTTTTTTTTTTTCATACGAGTCTCACTAGAATCCCGGTTTTGGTTCTTTTCCCTCCAGTCTTTGTCCCTCCCTCCCTCCCCCCCTCTCCTCGTCTCTTGGTCAAGGAATGGCTTCAAGAAGAACCTGAAAAAAATACTATTAAAAAAAAAAAGAAAACGTGGACGCATAAGGGTTTTATTCGTGGGCCTTAACGTCTGACCTCCTTAAATCGCTGCCATATTCGTGACGGCAGGTATCATGTACCCTTGGAAGGGAAAAGGAAAAAAAGAACAACATAAAAAACCGAATACAACGAAAAGCGAAATAATCGCGTTAGGCTGGATGAGCTTCACGACCACGATCGTTGCGGACTTTTATATACATATATAGTAACCTGCAAGGAAGGCAAGTGGCTGCTGAGCTACAAGATCTGCTTATGTAGCGCAAGTTTCAGCGAACAAGCCTCTTCATCCGCCCGGCTTCCTTCTTCCACGATTGTTCAATAAAGTTAGTATAGGTTTCGCCGTTATCCAGTTAAAACAGGCGATCAATGGCGGCTTGTGCAGCACGAAATTCTAAGTATTGCGCCAAGAAACTGAGGAAGAGAAGGAGACGAGAGGGGACGTCGGCGCTCTGGTTGGAAGGATTAGTGGGTAGACATAAACCTAGCTGACTTCGACTCCGCTGCATTCGTCGAACGCGTTCGAGTGCGAGCGCCCAACGCCGGGCGCCGGCATTCCGCAGCTCCTGCGCAAGTCGTCCGCTTCTTGCTCGAAAGCTGCGGTGACGTCATAAGGACGCCGAGCTCTGAATGGCTTCGATATAAAAGATAGTGGGTAGAGCTCAGTGCTAGACGCCTTCGGGTCTACCCACTATACTTTTGTTTTCAATCCGACAATAAGAGTTTGGCGTTCTCACATCATCGCAACTCCTGTACAAGAAGCAGACGACATCCACGCTCTCCGCATAGGCCTCCTGCGCGGAAGCTGCGAACAAACGGTGGCGCCCTCATTTAGGGCAGTACGAGCTAGCCTGATTGGGCCTCGTACTAATCGTGGCAAGTTGGCCGAGATTTTTTCTCCACGTGTGGCGCCGAAGAACGGAAAAACAGCCGTGGACGCCCGAAAGCGGCAAGATTCAACGCCGCCAGAGAATCGAAAGTGTCAGACTCACGCCACCGGCGCTACGATACGCGTCTCTCATCTCTGTGTGCTGACGCCAAAACATCTGGCGTCCCGACGCAATATTTTTTTTTTTTTTTTGCAACGTGTGAAACGGCGTTTTTTTGCTCACGCTCTTAGCTTTAACCTGCTTTTCGACGGCGTTCAAAATCTTGTTGTTTCTTTCCCTTTTTCTCGTGGTCTCGCGTTCCGAACCAAAGCAGGCCCGGTTCTACATTGTGTGACAGTTTGAACACGCCGAAGTTTGCGCTACCCAAAACAAGCCCTAACATGTTCCTTTTCGCAGCGCCCCCTTGGCGGGACAAGAGGCCTATACTGCGACGTCGAGCGCAGCAAACACGGCGCAGCGTAGCGCACATAGATACTGAATTGGTCGCCGAGAGGCCTCCCGCGTTGCCCAGAGGACGCCGCTGCGAAGGGGAACTCGGTAGGACTTCTTTTGGGTAGTACCGTATGGTAGTACAAACTTGAGCCTCTCAAACTGCCACACACGTAGAAGCTTGTCTGCTCTGTTGCAAAACACAAAATGTAAAAAAAAAAAAAAAAAAATCGAACATTGTCGAAGAACAGGTTAAAGCTAAAACGCTCAGAGCGGGAGCCAAGAGACGCCGTTTCAACCGTTCCCAAGTTTTGACGTCACCAGGCAGAGATAAGAGACGCGTCGTTTACGATCCGTATTACGTTTCACTCGTGTACAGTGAAAACACCCTAGAGACAAGAGTGTCCCCATTTAGGTCGAGCAACGGATGCACGCGCGTCCAAACTTCGACAATTCTGCAAAAGACAACGGCAAGCGTGTTTTCCCGCATTGGTGTTGTTCGTGCGGGGAAGCCACCTTAAGGCGGTCTCTACCGATAATCGATGTCCTGCAGTCCTGTCACCGTGTTCACGTGACGTCGTCAGTGTGACGGCCGTTACGTGACGTGACTCTGACGTCACGTGAACAGACGTCACATTGTCACGTGACGTGACAGTGCGATATCCCGGTAAAATATGACGTCACGCGATACCGTGACGTCAGGGGAGACCGGCATGGTGTCGCAGAGGATCTATGATCTATAAATGCTACGCAGTTAGAATGCCTTCGGGATATACCAAAGGTAAACAGGTTTTTTTTTTTGCTATTTTCTTCCTCGAAAACAAACGAGGGTTTCCTCCTTTCTGTCGGAATAAGTAAGTTCCCGCTCCTGCTCTATTCGCAAGGGAAGAAACGGTGAAAGAAAAGGAACGAAAAGAAAAACACGAGAAAAAGGTTTTCAGTCAGACTAAACATGATTGTCGAACGTTGACCTAATGATGAACAATAAAACGTGAAAAAGCACGGATATCTGGAAAAAATACAGCAAAACTCAAAAAAAAAGATAGCGAGGGAGCACAACAAGCACGAAAAGAATAAGTAAAACTGAATTAAGATCCTCTCAGGCGTACAACCTAAACCACGAATATGCGAATTTTGGTCAACAAATCAAAATAGCGGAGCAACGCAGAAAACAAAAAAGAAAGCAAAATCATGCAATTTTACTTAATGAGGCAAAGAGCATTAGCAACAACTTCGCGTGCCATGCCAAAAAAAGTTAAGTGAAAAATCATGCTGTGAACATTAAAAGTAAAAAGGTAGAAATCAAATAGAACAAAGTGTGCAACTCGTCCCAAGATTAATCCGGGCATATTCAGAAAAAAAAGAAGAAAAAGAAATCGTGCATACAATGTTAAGCAGATCATTACTAAAACATTTACCGTCTTTCACGTTCAATCCATGTCAAAGCCCTCACCCCTGTCACGTATGCAAATTTAATTCGATAGAGTGGCATCCTCTAGCTTGGACTATTTCACGGATCCCTGAGTGTTTCGTCGGGCTTCGGAGAGTCTACTTGATAGTTGAAACTGTACTACATTTTGTGGGAAGTGTGCCCACATTTGTAGACACGTTAATTTGCACATTTGATGCTGCGCGTGAGTTGTGTTTCTTCTTTTTACCTTTTGGTGTGCGCCAATGTGAAGACCCGCGTGGCTGTTTTTGGCCACATAAAATAAACATTATTATTATTATTCTTAGCTAACTCGAATATCAAGCTACTATAAATCCACCGTCGTAATAAATAAAAACGAAACAATGCTCGCAGCGCCGCGTCTGCTAGAATAATATACAAAAATATTTATAAAATAAAATAAAAAAAAGTGCCGAAATGAAAAAAAAAAAAGTCTGCCGCCAGATTTAATGCATACTTTATGAGAAAGTTTGAAGCGCAAATTGTGAAGGCAGGAACCAGTTTCTTTCGACGTTTTTTTATCACAAAGGGGAAAACCCGTAATCAGCTTCTGGTGAGGAGAATGTATTTACTTTCTCGGAAATGATATTTATATATTTATTTACGTACATTCGATTAATGATATTAATAAATTATTGCACACGCACGTTTAACATTGCCAAGAAAAATAAGTTTGCCTCCACTCTAATTCCTCCCCAAAAAAACCAAAACCCCTATTCTTGAAAAAAAAAAAAAAAAAAGCACTAGATCGATGTTTAAAATTTCGATCATATGTGTTATCAACCTGAACCTTGTCTCTATTTAGGATTAAAAAAAAAGAAGTGCCCTAGAATAGTACGAAAATTTAATGTCTACTATAGCGGTCTGAACTAGGTTCCTTTAAAAGACACACCCAATCGGAGAAGTTCAATGAACTCCTAGGATTCCCAAACCAAGGCAGATGCGATCGTGTCGAAGCAAAGGCATGCTACAAACAAACCCGGGGAGTGAACAATGGGCAAGGGTGACAAACAGAAGAAAACAAATGGCATTTACGTGAGAAACATCGCGACTTGATCCGCTCTGAAAAAACAACGAAAGGGGGAAAAAATCTTAAATAAATGCTCGGCGTCGAGGACAGATAAAATTGTCGCATACTCATAAATATCTCGCCACAACACGAATACCGCAAAGGTTCCAAGTGCAGAGAAATAAAAAGAGCGCGAAAACGAACACAAAAGAGAAGTAGAAGACAAACACAGCGCTGTTCTTCTACTTGACTTTGTATTCATTTTTGCGCTGTTTTCATTTCTCAGACCATGCACCCGACTCGCCCATCTTCCCACCTTACTACAAGTTACAAGCGAGAAG